TTTCTTTTTTTAACTACAATAAACGTATATCAACTGTAAATACTTTTATTCTGTTAATCTATTTTTTTTTTAAATATAATGTCAATAATATACATACTTTTGGTATCTCTGATGAAGCTTCTTTATATTTTCGTTTATAACGATGAACTTCGCCTTTAAGTTGTTGATTATGATTCTGTAAAGATGTAATCAAATGTCTCATTTCTCGATTTATCGGTCCTGTTTGTTCATTTGCTGCTAAATTTTGTTCAAATTCTATTCTTAACATTTCATATTCTTTTCTTAATTGAGCTAAAACATCTTCCAATTGTATACATTCTCCACGTAATTTCTTTTGTGCCATTAACTCTTCACTCTAAAGATATTAATGAATTTATATAATTTTGATAATTTTATGAAAAAAAAAAGTACATTTACCTCCATCATTTCAATATGACGTAAATGAGCGTTCTTGCTAGATTGCAATTGCTGACGAGCATCATCTAATTGCGTTTTTAATTGCATTGATTCATTATATAATACAGAAAATTGTGATTGTAAACATTTATATTCTGTTGTTTCAACAATTACTGATTCTGGAAGTTGTCGTATCTGTAAATATAAAATATCTTTCAAAGTAAAAATAATACTTGAACATAATATGATCATATAATTTTCTACTTAATTTTTTTTTTTACATTATATTTTATCTATTAATTATTTATTAATATAAAAAAGTAAAACACAAGAAATCAGCAAAAGCAAATACAATATAAGTATTTATTGCACATGACATTAATTTACATTCTATACTGAGTATCATAAAAGTGTATACAAAAACCAAAGAACTCACATCCATTTTTAATTCTTCTACTTCTTTCAAAGCATCGCGGTGTTGTTGATGCAGTTTATCCAATTCTTGCAGCCTATTATTAGCTAACTCTCTGGTTTCTTCCAATTCTCTTTGTAAATCTTCGAGCTATAAAAGATATAATACAAAATAGAATTAAATATATAGGTATAATGATTTTAATAAAAAACCATCATATAATAAAATATAATAATTATTTATTGAAATATTATTATTATTATATATTATACCTTCGTTTGTGATACACTTGATGCAACTAAAGTATTTGGTTTGTTACTTCCTTTTTCATCTGTACCATGTATTTGTTGAAATGCTTTTAATTTCTCAATTGCTTCTCCAAGATGATGTTCTAATTTATCATTACGAGCTCGTACTTTATTCAATTCATACTGAAGATCTTCTACTTGATTACAAAGTTCTAAAGCAAATGTATCTTTTGCTGTTATGGTATCTTGTAATTCTGACATCTGTGAAGAAATATACTTATTAATATATAATTTAAATATTACTTATTAAAATAAATAAAAAATTATTTTACCTTTAATGAAATGGTGTGGTATTTTTCGTGAAGTTGTATATTTATTGCTTGAAGATTCCTATTTTCCATTTGTATTTCAGCATTTGCTCTACGCACTACTTCATCAATATTAGGTGCTTCCTCTAAATATAAATAATAATTTTTCATAATAAATTTATTATTTTTTAAAAATAAATATTTTTTTATTTTAAAATATATTTCAATAAAATACCTCCATCAAACTCTCCTTTAAGTGCAAGAGTAATTTTTTCATTTCTTTGAGAAAGACGGTCAAATGCCTGTACAACTTTAGAAACAGCACGTTTAGATACTTGAACACGATTTGCTAATTTATCATTTAACTCTTCTTTGTCCCATGAAGAAAGCTGCATGAGAAATGATGTTGTAGCTTCACTTTCATCTATAATTATGTTAAAACATTTATTATAAATTATAAAAATCTAGACATTTAATAAATGCAATTATCTAGATTTTTTTACTTTTATTTTCAGATTCATCAGCTGTTTCAGCATCAAATCTTTGAAGTAATATACGTATATCTTCATTTAATTGATTCCAATAACGATTAACAACATTAAGCACTGCATCATCTTGCATTTGTCGTATTTCCAACTGTTGAATTCGTTCTCTTAATTCAGCTTCTACTCTATGACGCTGTTCTAATCTCTAAAAGATCAAAATAATGTAATATAAAAAGAAACTATGAATATAATTTTATATTTTGATCAAAAAAAAATATAAAAAAAATAATCAATTAAAAAATTAATCTTTATTATTGTAAATAAATAATTAAAATCATATAAATAAAAAATATAATTAATTAATTAAAATTTTGATTTAATATCTAATATTATATTAATATATATTATTATAATATTAAAATATATAAAATAATAATAATCTTATCTAAATATATATTATGACTTTTTGATCATTAACAATCAAACAAATATGAATAATATTACATGCTTACATAATAAATTAAATTTGATATTATTAATAATAAACACTACTTTTATATAATATCTGCATTTATAATGAATAATCATTATAATTATTATAATTATAATATTAGTTGTAAAAAATGAGAATTGTTTTATTATAAAGATTATATTATAATATAATATATTTATTATAAAGATTGATATGTTAAAATGTAATCTTATGGCTAATATTTTTCAAACATTGCAAATTCATATATAATTTTATAAATGTGTATTTGACAACTAACCTGAGCTAATTTTTTATTTTGAAACTGTAAAACTTTCATATCCATTTCTTCAAGAGTTGAAATAGGTCCGATTAAAATCGGTTCGAATTGAACTTTTTTAATAGGTGGCTGGGAACCCGAATCCCCACTTTCTGCAGGTCGCTTTGACATTTTGCTGCAAGCGTTTTTTCCTGTCTGAAAATTCAAATATATAAAAATTTAAAAATGAAGAACAAACACTTTGTATCTAATTTTTATTGCTTACAATTTTTGAAATTTTATTATTGATCAAAAGAATCCATACCTCGTAACGTATACTAATACCACCAGCGATCCTCTCCACAAATATCTTAAAGTTTCGATATCACTATGTCATTTTTAGATATCTAAAACCTGTCGAAAAGATTATTTTCTCGACAGATCTTTACATTTTTATGAAAACGGTCGACAAAAAGTACTATGCAGAGTTAGAAAGAAGTCTCATGGGGCAATATAGGGGCAAAGGGAATCCTCCCCTCTTTTGCTCATGGACACGCGGTGTTATATGATCGTCTCTGTAAATGTGACATTTTCGGCCAATATGCGTGCTTATTTATATGATTGTGTTAGTTCTATCAGAAATAACCAATCAAATTCGCATTCCTTTCGAATGCTTTCTTTTCAATCTACATACATGCTTATAACGGAAGCCGCCATTATATCATATTGCATACGCGGCAAATCAAAAAATAAAGCGAAAACATCATTCACCATGATTATAGAGATTAAATAGATAAGAAACATAGTTATGATTTGCATTTTCATTTGGATTCTTAACTATATATTGTATGTCCATTTGATGTAAATTGAATAAATTAAGAAAGATAAATAACATCATCTTATCATATCAATTAAAGGAAAAATAAAATAAAACATAATATGTGTAAGTGCAGATTTATTTTAAAATCAAACATTTCATTTAAGAATGATTACTTATATATTTCTTATAATATTTCCATTATTTCTTCAAAACATTTTAATCGAAAATATTATTATGCATTCAATTTATAATAATTTATTTTATAGATTTTAAAATTATAAATTTATCAAGAAGACGAATAAATACAATAATAATTAATGTGTTAATTCTATTTTTTAATAGAGGATACAATTTTTATTATATTTCCTTTATTTTTAATTAATTATCATACGAATAAGATTAAAAATAAAATTAAAATAATAAGATATCAATTCAAAAATCATTTCTAACTACAGATTATAATTGATAGAGACATTAAAATATCTATATTAAAACCTAACCTATCTGAAAACTTTGAATTATAAATTTTGGTTCCAGATTTTTAATTTTTCTAATGAATATACCTACATTATGTAATATGTACAAAAAATCATAATTTTGCATAATAATAATATATTTTTATTAATTTACTATCACTTTTCAAAAAAAAATTATATTTCAACAATACAGAAAAATTTCATTTCATCTTCATTTTATAATATTTTTAAAGTATAAATTATAATATTATTTTTTATAATATATATATATTATATATACATATAATTATTAATTATAATTTATATTACTACTAAAACTACTACTATTACAATAATAAACATATATATTATATGTTATATTATATTTTATTATATATCTATTTTTTAAAGTGAAATTTTTGGCTATTTTTGAAAATTTATCATGATTTAATTGAAATTTTTTCAAATTATTTCATTTTAAAAACAAGATTTTTAACAATTCAAAAGTTAAGATTCAAATTTTGCGAAAAACATTTTAATATAACATCTCTTCGTTACCGATATAGTATAACATAAAATTATAACATTAAAATAAACTGAATTGTATACTTGTTACTATAAGAATATCTTAAAATTTTTTTTATATTATTGATATTCAAAATATTTATATTATGTTATACTTAAATTCTCTATATTTTATATTTTTTATTTGCATTCAATTCCAAAATTATAATGATCAAAGTTATAATAATAACAATATCAATATTATATTTAATATTTATCATTGTAATTTCGGTCACAATTTCAATCACAGGATTTCATTTTCATAGATCCGAAGGATTTTTCTATGAAAATGAGAGATATGGAAATGAATTAATTGTATATGTGAATATGATATAGGATATTATGATATAGGATAAAAATCATAGAAGATTTATTTTATTTTTAATTATTAGATGATACATGCAAATACAATATGAAATTAATAAAGATAAATTTAAAGTAATAATTTATTCGGATATATTGAATTTTGTTATAATTCTATGTTTTGTCGGTAATATTGAAAATGATACTAAAAATGATAAAACATATTTGCAATATTTTGGATTTTAATTTTTAAATTGTCAAAAGTCTTTTTTCTAAACATCATGTAAAATGAAGCTATCTTCAAAGTTTCAGTCAAATTGGATGTGACAGGCTTTCGAAATTTCGCTTATATTGAACCGATAATGTCACGTATAACATGAAAATGGTAAGATAATTCAATTCAAGGATAATTAAAAACATGGGATGCGAAGTTTTATAAAACGAAGATATAATCTGCACCTTATTTATAGTTGGTATTTAAATAATTTTTTGTTCATATAAATTAAGAAATAATTTATTTAATCATTAATAAGAAGCATATTATTTCATGTAAAAATAATTTGTTTGTATTACAATGTAATACTTAATATATAATTTCCTTATAAATAAATTTAAAAAATTAATTCATAGGTTAAACATTAAACGTTTCTATAGAAACTTGAACTGATTCATTCATGTATAGATCAAACCTGAGAATCCGTCGCTTTAACAAAACATTATTCCTTCGTATGTGTTTTCGAAATTAAAAAATAAAATGAACAATCGTCCACTTGAATTAGTTCCTCCACCTCCATTAAAGTTTACTTTATATCAGTGGCATCTAAATAATCGTCATAGGTATGAATATTCAATGATAAACAATAATATCGCATCTTTTCTTTCATCTAAGTTTTAAATAATAAAAAAGACAAAATAATTGAACATAAAAAGTATTTACTAGGTATCGATGTTCGGAAGCACAGCAAGAATTAGCAGATCGATTACTTAATGAATCTCAACGTATTTGTGAATTGAGTTCTGAAACAGTAAAAAATAATAAAGAAGAAACAGATCATAGACTTAAAGAAAAAATTGGAGATATAGAATTCCGTAAAAAGGAACTATTACGTATAAGGAAAGAAGTTATCCTTGAAATTGATACTTTATCGATATATAAGGAACGTATTATGGATGCTTTATCATCCATAAGGAAAAGTGCTCTTATTATTTGCGAAAAGTGTCTCGTTTTTAGGTAAGATTTAATAAATAGAGAAATAATTGTTCAGCAAATATTTTTCGAAATCACATTGAAAATATAAATTAATATAATTGGTGATATAATAATTGGTGATTTGTATGCATATGAAACTGTTAAAGAAAAATATATCTATTTTCATTAATTTAAATAGATTTTTGAATAAATCAAATAATATGATTTTCTTCATTTGATTAAGTATAATCTACATCTTAATCATTAAAATATTTTAAATTTCTTATAAGAATTGGACCACAAAATTTAATAAGTAGTATTTTTATTGTTATTTTAACTATAGAGAACAAAGATTAGGAATTGATTTAGTTCATGATGACGTTGAAAAAGAATTGATAAAAGAATGCGAAGTAATTAGGGGTGTCGAAAATTTATTAGTTCGAACTTTAGAACAAACTCAAGAACAAATACGTCGATTAAAAGCGACACTTTATTATATGGATCACGAACTTGAGGATAAAGAAAATAATTTACGTATTGACAAACATAATTTAACATTAAAAGAAACTAGTTTAAATTTAAGCATTTATCATGGCAGTTCACGACTTGATCCATCGTAAGTATCATTTTTTTTAGGTTTTTTATTCATTTTAATTTTATTTATAATTTAAATTTATCTGATTTATTAAAATTTATTTTTATTCATTAAGAACTATCGAATTGAATGAATGGGAAATGCAAACTAATAACAATATCATGACAGCTTCGAAAGAAGTAAATTGTGCTATAACTTTGCGTTGTTATATCGATACGATTATAAAACAAGCAATTGATGATCTAAATGAACAAAAAAATGCTACTAACGAAGCTTTCAGACGCCGCATCGAAGAAACCAAGGAAGCAAAAACAAAATTAGAATTACAGCATTCTGAGGTGTGTGTATAATATAATCATAGATTTTTAATTAAAAATTATAAAAATAGCTGACATTATATAAATGCAAACATAAACATTATAATATATTTAGTAATTCGAATGCAAGTCAAAAAAATATTTAATAAAAAA